ATCTGGTATAAGACGTACGACTTCATCTGTTCCGGCAGAGCATCGAACGAGTTCAGCATGTTCGGTATGTCCATGGCGGAGGGTGTGGGTAGTTGCGTATTGGAGCTGTCGGCGTTGTCACGCTGTCGGGAGCCAGGAAACAGGGTGAAATCCCCCACGCGTGAGCTGCTTGAGGTGCCCTGTGACAGGTCAAGCCCGGAGACGTCGTTCGCATCGAAGTCCATGTCTGTGCCCGAGAAGGAAGCCCCGCCATTTGTTTGTTGGGCGAGGTTTGCGGCCGCAGTGATGGGCGACAAGCTCGGACTAGGTAGGCTCGCGTCTTGTGCAGACGTTGTGTCAAGAGGCGTGAGGCGTGAGGGGGTGAAGGACGCGTCGTCGGCGAAGGGTCCAACAGGTTCCAGATCAGATTCGGCGATTGGGGGTGTAGCAGCTACGCCGGGGCCGTCGAATACACCTGTGGGGAAGGCGTGCTCGGGAGAAGGCTCGCGATGGTCCGAAAGACTACCGCTAGAGTGTGATGACCGAGCGCCTGATTCTTGGAGCCGCCATCTGGGCGGCGTTTCGTCTGGTGCAATTTGCTGTGACGTAGTCCGTAGCTTGGAGTTGTGTAGATGGGCGGCGGTGCGGAGTTTTGCCAGCTTGGATGGTCCGGAGCCTGCCATGCCGGTATCGGGTGTGGCCAGCTGCGGATCCTCCATGTCATCCGAGGTGGAACGGGAGGCCGTACGTGTAACGTCCTTATTCTCGTGCTCCAGCCGGGGCTTCTTGCTTTGGCGATGGATGCCGAGAAGCTCGACGGCCTTTGTTATTGACGGTGGCGGCGGCGAATCGTCTGCATTATCCCGTTTCCGACGGCCAGATACCGAGCGTAGGCCTTGGTGAGGAGCGTGTGGTTTCGGACGCGTCGAGCGGCTGGGTGTCGTGAAGACTGGCGGGCCGTCATACGACTCGACCTTTCTGAGAGTGCCGTTGGTCGATCGTAGGTTGCGTTGGAGTGTTTTCTGCTACAGTAGAAGCGTTAGCCGGTGGTTGGCAGATGCGACGTGAAGGGCCTCAGCCGCAGGCATATCCCTGGCATGAGGAATGCGTACCTCTCGCACCTTGTCCGATGCGGCATCTGCCTCCTCGAAGCAGGCCAGGTTGCCTCCAGATTCAAAGTAGAACTTGCGTATCGACTCGGGTGCCTGGACGTGGGCCAGCGGGTAGTCCTTGGGGTCCCGCTCGCTAAGGCTGCCGGGGGCGTTTACACACAAAGGCGGGAACGTGGTCGTCGTGGTGTATGTGGTCGTGACTACGGTAGTCTTGGTGGCAGGCGCGAAGGAGAACTGTCCCATGGTGGCGTACGGGTCTGTGGCTTCGGTGTGCACCGTCTTGGCCACGCCGTCAGCGCCGGGGCCAGCAGCGTTGGAGGCCATGTTGCACGGACGTGACGAGAGACTGAGGACGTGAAGGCTCTTTCGGGATCCAGTAATTCGTGGGAGGATAGGCGTGGAGAGCCTGTTCGGGACACTTGCCGAGTGAAGAGGCTCGCGGAAACGTTAGTGGTGCTGTTCCGGGACCTGAGACCTCGGGATCAAAGCGCGAGCTCGGAGGAGCAGAAGACAGGCGGGAAGAGCAGCAACTCTAGTAATCGTACATGTCGCCAGTCGGTACGCTCGTCGTGTACGGGCTCGTTGTGGTGATCACGGGAACCTGGTACTTTGCTATCCGACGTGTCGCCGCTGACGGAGAGATAGGAGCCGCTGGAGACGTGATGCCGTGGCGGAACGCGAAGTGCAAGGTGGCGGTAAGGTCGGCACGCGGTGGATCGGGGAGACGCCAGAAACGAAGGTTGGTCGTGTAGTCGTGTAAAAGGCAGTGTGGTGGACTGACAGTGGTGGTGGGGTCTAAGGTAACGAAGGCACCTGGCTGGTGGGCAAAGCTAGCTTCCTCCATCCATGCAGGTGTCAACCGCCCCAATTCACACATATCACGCGCAGCGGCAAGCTTCTAGTCTTCGCGGCGGGGCAAATTATCCCAGCAATACTCTCCAGCATGTAGAAATCACCTCAATACATCGCAACGCCTCTTCCTCTCTATGTCGAAGCTATGGTTCCTATGACATGAGCTATCGCTGCACCTGCGCAGCTTGCGGGTGGATAGTGTTCTCGCGTCACTCGGCTCAGGCGCCTTCGTGTGATTCGATCACTGCCCCATCGACTTTTCCCGCCGTGGCAAAATCATAACAACAAGCGCCGCCCTTATGCTTTACAATCGTCCACTTTGTGATAGAAAAAAACTCCCATAACGAACGATACCTTGGATACGTTCGGTTTCCGAGACTACACGCTGTGTATGCGTCGGACACATAGGCAGCAGTGTTGCAAGAGACAGCTGCACGACGCCGGAAAGCGCCACATTGCATGACACATCTGGACAAACACAATACCCAATGAGCAATACAGCAGCAGCAGCATCCAGCAAGAGTGACTGTCAAGATGCAGTCGCAAAGACATGGACGGTTGCGTGGTTGAAAGCCCGGCTGATGGCCACATCGCCACATTGGCGACTTGTCATGATCAGATGTCTTCTTAATACATATCGAAGGAGCGTACGTCCGACATGTGGCGTGACTCACTTGAATCTGCATAGTAATAGGAAATCATTGTTGCCCAAGTGTGTTGTATAAAAACACGTGACGACCTTCTTTCATCGTAACGTGACCAGTGAAACCGAGACGATGCTTTCCGCTAGAACCGCACATGACGAGCTGTCGTCGTATGATGTGTCTACCATGACCTGCCTTCTCATCTAAGGCAGCATCCTTCATCAAACCCTTTCGTTGCGTTTGCGCCAGCAACGTCGGCGTCTTCGTGCTAGAGTGTCTGAGAAAGCGAGAGAAAGAGATTTCATTGTCTGTTCGCTGTCGTTCTCTCCACCCAATATAAAAGGAGGAAAGATATCTTGATACCCAAAGCGCAGTTACTTATCATCGTTCCAGTCGACCAGGCTCCCGGGCTCGGGGTGACTGAACGATAGTTTGAGAAGAATGTGTTTTAACTTTTGGATGTGCGTCTAATGTTTCAGCTGCAGCATCTCGGATATTCATCACAGAGAGTTCGCATTGTCGGGTTCATGTTCGTTGCTCGGGTTCGGGTGGAGGAGCTTGTAAACTCTACTACTCAGACTGCGGATGATGTGTGTATCTCCTTCGTACGGCTAGCCAGGACCTGCTCCGGAGTCACCCATAGGGAGCAAACATGAGCGCACCGAGCAAGCTGAAACGACCTTCCCAAGCCCGAGAACCCATAGTACCAGCCGGACCTGTCAAAAGTTCGCGGTGCAATCTATATTCATAGTAACACGGCGAAAACTCCGACAGCCCCTCAACGCCACCAGATGCGTTCGGCTGCGTTCTTTCAGCCTCGTTCTTGGGCCTAAATGGTTTTGTCACGCTGACATGTTGGGTTCGATTGACCCTGAAAGTAGGGCTGTCGTTCACGTCCGGGCCTTCTTTGAACGGCCTTTCAAGGTTTAATGTAGGGAACAGAGCGTTGGACAGCAACGCGCGACAAGCTCTCGCATCAGCACTACGTGAAGTATAATGATTGTGTTCGACGCGTACAGGACATGGACCACCTTGGTATCACAAACTAGCTGTGATGGACTTCCAAGGGGATCGCGCTTTCGTCGCGAGGAGATAGCCGGATCGGCGAAGAGCCGGCTTGGCTTTCGTCCGTCCCCACGAAGATGTCCATTGATCACCGTGGAGTAATCCACACCATATCCTTATAGAGACGACCTGCGACCAGAAGGGAAGGACGCGGGCGCATCACACGATTCATCTCGCATCCCTGAGTATGCTCGACAACCCGAGATACCCAAGATACCCAATGTACCCAACTTGCGGACGCCTCAGCGCTGCTACCCGCCTTGTGTCGCAACTCTGTGGATGAACGCGAAGCGAAATGCGACTTGTGCGACACCACCTGCGATGACGGTGAGTCGGAAGTGAACCCGATGGAGGAGGCAGTATGCAGGTACGAAGGGTGGAAATTGGCGACTTATGGAGGACCACGATAACACGACCATGCTCGACTTCCTCGTCCATATTCGGCATGCCACGAGCTAGAGCCTTGGCAAAGGCTAGCGTGTCGCCTACTGAGCATGGGCGATCCTACAAACTTCGGTAACGCGAGCTCTAGCTTTGCTCAACCACTTGAGCAATTTCTTTCCGACAGATCCAGCCTCGTCTGATGCGGTGACGGGCAACAGGCGGATATGCTCGAGGCCGTGCCTCTCCGCACTGCTGCACATTCGGGTCGCGGCGGCGTGCTGTCATCTGACTGGAACCCAGGGAATGCATGTATGCGACGCAGCAGTGTGGCTTTTGGCTCGGAGCTTGTGCCTTGCTGCGGTCCGCACGTCTTGCCGAATGGCATGATACCCCTGAAAGCCTACTACGATGCGGATCCTACCACCACCAGCTCCTCACAAGCGGTAAATTCAATGGATCCTTGGGTTAATACTCGCGGGTTATACCCGCCATCGCCCATCTTCCTGGGAGATCTCGAAAGCTGGTTCTTTACTCCGCCATCCCCATCGCCCCCAGAAGCAGCAAACTCGATAGTCCTGGAGCGGCGCTGCATGACATCGTACTACTTTACGCCGCGCTGCCGTTCCTGCAGATAGCACTCAACCAGTCCACGCCCGATTAGCGCTCAGTGCAGCAGCGCAGTAGGGGCCCGCAGTTGAACCCTTGGATTCCTCAATTGAGGTTGCCGGATCTCTCCTACCGCATATCGGATCGTCATCTGCACCAAAAAGCAAACATCACTTAATGCTGTCAGCGCTGGCCGGGGGTAGCACAAGACGTGCCATTCGACGCAATTACACCCTATGTGGGCATTGACTTCGTAGCGCCAACTGAACTGGTCCCGCGATTCAGTCTCGACTGTCATATCTCTAACTACCCTGAGTCGCGCCCACGCCGGCACCACAGCCACCAATCTTCCACCATCATGGCTCGCGGCGACCGCGCACCCAAGAAGTTTTCCTTCCCTCTACCTCGCCGCTCGCGACCCAAGAACGACGACCTCGACGCCCGCCCTGCACCGTCGATTGCCTCTGGCCCCGACAGGCCCTCTCGTCTCGAAGACACCTCCAGCAAAGCACACCGAATCCTAGGGACGTCCGATGTCCTGCATCGCACGGCATCTCGGCAGTCGACAATACCACCAAGTCCTGGATTCATGTCCATCACTGTGTCTGAGGCTAGCTTCGGCTCCCACATCGACGAGAGAAACACGGCAACACCCACCGAGAACGACGGATACCTGAAACGTCCCACCATGGCAACACGAGCCTCGTCAAACGTTCTGGGACGCACATATACTGGGGAAAGCAGGCACGGCTCTGACAGCAGTTCCCTCCATCGCCGGCTACACCCTCAAACGTCGAATTCGACCCTTCGATCACATTATGACGCAAAGAAGTCGCCGCTCGCCATCTCCCAGCAGACTTCCGACTCGGCAGTCAGAGACAGGGCTTTACGAAGAGGGTATCCCCCGGTATTGACGGATCATGGGTACGACAATCACGAAGCGAGTCCAGTGTCGCCTGTCATCCTGGAGGAAACGAGGAAGAAAGAATACCGAAAGAGTAAGCCAGCCCGGCTAGATCTTACAAAACTGTTCCCCAAGCCGAAGGATGGCAGCGACGGTCATGGCGGTACACTGCTTTCGCCTGCCAAGATGGTCAACTCGCCGGCCGCTATGTCATCCACCTCTGAGTTCTTTCCTCGCCCAATGACGAGACAACCGACGCCACAAGTACAGCCTGCCAAATTACAGAAGAAGAAGAGCATGAAGTACCATGATCCTCCAGTAAAGCCTCAACCTCAACCTCAACCTCAACCTCAACCGCATATGAGTCCAGTACGCAAAGTCAAGAGAGATCAATATGATAATGCCAAGATTCACGTACGGCGTCCGCCAAAAGGCGTCCAGCACTGGTTCGATGCGCTCGATGAGGATAGTGAAGAAAGTGAGGAGGAAGTACGCGACTTAGAACCCAAACGCCACAACAGCGTCGCGACTGAGCCAGACCTTATGCCAGACCTGGTGCCTACTGCTATCGAGGCTTGGCAAGGAAGGAATGCATCTCGTTGCGATAGTCGATCGCAGAATCCCACACCAGCGTTTAAGAGGGACAGTTTTGCGCTTGAGGATATCGTCGACATTACCCATCTGACCTCACCCAGCCAGTACTCTTTGGACACATATCGCTCACATACCTCAGCAAAGACCAAGACGTCAGCTATCTCCAAGACTAATCTCCAGGACTCTAGTGTCTTGTCTTTCTCCTCGTCTGAGGATGAAGCTGACGACCGGTCACGATCCCGCAAGGGCAGCGTCCGCAAGAGCATGGATAGCGCCGACTACACAGGGGAGATCGTTATCGGTCGGGCGCAAGCTTACGAGCTTCCACCACATCGCCGTATGCAGTCGTCGGGAAAATTGAGCATACTCTCAACGTCAACAAACGCCACTATCGAAGTTATGTATGCACCAGAACCGCCTTTCCCTTCGTATCATCACCCTCGTGGCAGTACCTACAGCGGTGGCAGATTGTCCAGCCACGTCAGGCAGCCCTCGATCATTCACGAAGACGACGACATCCGTCCAAAGACCGCTGTTACCCAGCCGATTTCACCAACGGCACACAGTGTTGTGAGCACGCGCACGTCAGCCAGCGCACCACAGGCTCAGTCCGAAGGGTCACGCAAATTTATGCAAGTCACGCCAGAAGAGGAGGCTTTGCTGGAGCTGATGAGGAAGAAACGTGCCGCTATGAACAAACAGATCGAATCATCGCAGTCATCTACACCGGAACAAGATTGGCATCAACATAAGTCAACTAAACGTCCTACACCGCCGCATCGCACGTCTGCCTCTCTTGCAGAAGGTATGTCTCCCAGCTCTGCGCGAATGGTTGAGTCACGGACCAAACACCGAGCACCCACGAGTGCACCTTGCTCCATCGCGCCATCACGTGGCAGGTCTTCGACGACAGAGAGTCGTGCAACTACAAGTCGACTCCGCGACACCTCGGCCAGCACCACTTGGTCAGATCGAAACTACTCGCCTGTCAGTCGCGGGAGAGTGTCGCACCAACTGCTCACCCCGTCCGTGTTCTCGCCACAGGACATGTTGTCTCCCCCGTCTCCGCCGCTTGCTGGGAGCTTCGCATCGCCCACTACTACCGGCCATCCATCTCCCTTGCCCTCGCCAATGACGCCTGCTCTATACGCCGACGAGAGAGACGTCGCTGTGAAAGTTGCGAGCAGCGACACAAGCAACGAGCTTGACGAGCTAGCTATGCTTGATCACGGTATCATGCGTATGCCCTCCGTGGGTGCGAAGTCTGAATCCTCCCACCGACGACGTAGGACCGCATCCAGCGACGCCGAGATAACCTTCCCGGTGCCGCCCACATCCACCAGCTTCCGCGACCTGACTCCAGTCTCAGAGGCATCGTCCCGTGCTCCTAGCATCGTCGAACCCGCACTACCAAAGATGCCGAAGAAGAACGCGCGACACATCAGCGAACTCGCGCTCGCGAGCATAGAAACCCGGAGTCGGCAGAGCAGCATTCGTTCTACTGAATCCCGTACGTCGGTTTACTCGCAGTCATCGAGCTACTACAAGCCCGCCAGCAAGGGGAGAGCGCGCCATTTGAGCCCAGACGCCAATGTTACGAGCAGTCCCAGGATGACGAGTAATGATCGGGATAGGGACAGCGTCAGTGATGATGTCCTGGCTGCCTGGGGCAGTCTGGGAGGGACGTACTAGACTTCTACTTTTTTCTTTTCTCCTTATTTCATCTGACCGTTCTATTGGATTCGGCTACGACTCTTCTTTCCAGCATTCACATCATTCCCATTTCAGCGGTATGATACCCCTCCGCTTCTTACCCGCCGCGCATAGTTCAGTCGGCCTATTCACCTTAACTTGTAAACCTAAAGTCGCTATTTGTTGTACGATTTCCTTTGTCGCTTTTTATCACTGCATCGCCTTCTCAGGATTTCCAGCATCAGATGCATGGGTTTCGTTACCACTATTACCATTATCGCATGAGGACGGGGGCTTGGTGATGAGGTTGGGCCATTCACATTCCCATCATAGATACTTTCCACGACTCGTAACCCGAGTCTTCAACCTAGAGTTGAGTCGCACATCAAATTGCGCTCGACAGTCTAATCACATGACTTTTTCCAACGCAACTCATATTCCATGCCATGATTTTTGTCATGTTCCCCCACCCCCATGATGCGCCCCCCTTTTTCCTTCCCATGCACAGTTTCTTTTTTTGGTTATCAACAGCCGCCAGCATGTCATCGTGTGTCCGTGCACCCGGCCCTATCTCGCTTCTGCACGCCCCGTGCGACCCCAACGAGAATGGGAAGGAGAATGAAAGTGGCGTTTGTCATGCAAGCATCAAGGAAGAATGCAGGATGCAGCCACCCGTTCAACAACATATTCCGCGTTCCCGCGTCGTTGGGAAAAAGCGTAATGAGACTTTCCCACCCCCCAGAAAAAAACAAATATTTCAAATTCCCGAACGTGACACAACACACCGCGAACTCTCATGGACGCGGTACCCGAATTGTCGAAAAAGCATGACGGCCCTCTCGCTGGCTTGTGGAGAGAGGTTGTCGTGGTGGTGTGAGGGTGTCTACTTTGGGAAAGAGGGAGTGAGGGGAAGGTGGGGAGCATGCTGATGGAGTCACCCGTTTGGGATGTGTTGGGGTGGGCTTGGTGTTTCTTTTGGTTGACTGCGATGATCGCTGTGGTTATCGTGATCTTTAGGAGTTGGATGAGTTGAGGATTTTTTGCCGAGTGTGCAAGTGTTTTAGGTCGGTCTTACGAGCACTATAGTGGCTTCTTACGACGTGCATGGCATTGGGGCTCACTGGGTTGTCCAGCCCACGATTACATAGCCTTTTGTCTCTCGCTTGTTCGATACATCCCCAGTCTTCGGGTTCTTGTGGCTGAGAGTATCACGGTACTTGCTCGTGGTTCGAACAAACATTACTACTACGTATGTATACAGACTGATGATTGGAAGTGTGATACACGAATAAAAAGGGAAGCCTTTCGATATAGTACAAAGAGTTTACTAAAGCACTCGAAAAATAGCTCTCATCAACGATCCTATACAGCCCAATATCAAGATACTTCCCAGCTCCTAGCAGTAGACTCATGCACTTCCGCGCTATCAACCATCCACCCCCCCACATCCCCATCTACTGACCCTGAATCTGCACCGCAACACCCCCCTGAGGAATATACGCAGCCCCAGACACCGTATTATCACCCCTCGTACACCGATCCATGATAACGCCAGCCGACCTCGCGATATCATTACTAACCCCACGCGTTAGCACACCGTCCACATCATCACCCTCACACTGTTCCAACGAAAAGAAGACATCACAACTTACCAGTTCACACTCTTAGGAGCATCATCCCGTCCCCTTACACTAACCACATCCGCACTACCCAATCTACACTGCACCCGTGCGGTAAACCCATCAACGTTACACTCCTGGCCCGCATTGCCCCTGCTCGCTAGATCATTAATACAAGCCACGGCGTCGGGCACAGAAGGAGGTCGTTGAGAAAGTTGTTGGCAGTTGGCAAAGGCTTGGCGCTTGTCCAAGGCAGCATCGGAGGTGGAGGCTCCGGAGGTAGAGAGGCCGGGGTTGGGATTGGGGTTTGCGGTATTGAAGGCGGCAATCGCTTCCTCGGGGCTCATGGCATGTGCTGGGTCGGCGATTAGGCTGTCGACCCAGGAGGTCCAGGTGAATGTTGAGCGGGGGGATTTGAGGGCGGTGCTGCTGGCGAGGGTGGCAAGGGTGAGGGTTGTGAGGAGAACCGTGGTCTTCATGTTGGGTGGGTAGGTGGTTGGTGTCGTTGGATGGTGGGGGATGGTTGCGGATGTGAAGAACTTGGAAGCGCCGTTCTCCTAGTCATTTATACCTTTGTCACCTCCCACATCGCCATAGCAATCCGTTCGAAACCTTCTCTCAGGCCTCCAAGGCAACCATATCGTGAAGCTTCCACTCGCACACCGGTGACATTCGGTGTCAGCCCGGGGACCCCTCTGAGTTAATCGGCTAGCATGAGGATAGAGCAGCGATATACTTCCTCATAGTAAATACAACAGACAACCAATGACAAAGGGAATCCGATCGCCGAACACGTAACACAGCCACTGTACCAGTTCTTCAGGCTGCCCATGTGGTAGCATACTCGGACCATTGAAGTCAGGCACCTCGCACAATCCGCCCGGAAGAGTACATCCAAGGCCACCCGTATACAGGGCACTGCAAGTGGATATGTAGGCCTTCTCTTTGTTCGATAAGGCCGCACTTCGGAAGATGGCACTGGTGTCGCATGGGAGCCTCATAGGTATCGGAGCTGAACTGGGGAAGTTGCACAGGTTTGTTGCTGGAGTTCAGGCCTATGACAGTTCGCTCGATCGATCTTTGACCTGAATGACGTTGTATGACGGCAGCACGTAAGGTTCATGTGAAGGGTAGACCATGATGTGATGCGGTCCGAATCTGCGGTGGCTTTGAGCAATGTGGGGGCGCTAGTAAGCGTCTATTTTGTAAGGCGTCCTAAATCTTCTTCTCTGGGCGCTGGGCAGTGGTCAAATGTCCATTAGAAGAAGGCGTTTTGCAGGAATCAATGCGGCACCCCAATTTTGTTCCGCTCACTCCATGGACATCCCATCACAACGGAACAAGAAAGACCAGATTTGTCTGCGATATGATGCTAATGGCATTTCAACTGAGAAGCACAGCGTATACATTACTTTATATGCAGATATGCTTTCCACTATAGCAGCAGCGATGCAACGCCAATATGTGTTGCAATGCAAGTCCCAAACTCCGCGTGTAATGCGTGAATGATAACGGATCCAGAAAGGTACAAAGTGGGTATATAGAAATACAAAGTGTAAGAAGAAGAAGTGAAGTTAAACGTAACATGGCGATGCAGTCAAGCGACTCGGCGTTATTGTGGCGTCGTCATAGTGCGGGAGAGTTGAGAACGTTGTGGCATAGCGTCTTTGCGTAGCTGCCGAACAACGGCTTCGAGCTTTCGTCGTTCTTCTTGTTCCGCCTGTATATCATTAGTGTTCTGCAAAAGAAGCGTGTGTGGAAGTGACTTACCCTCAGCGCCTTCAACCCCTCAGCCGTCCGGTCCCTCATCATCTTCCTAAAGTCTTCTCTCAACATGCGAATACTAGTCGCGCCCATGTCAAGCTGTGTAGCAGCGCCATTTGGCATGCCGGGTCCAGGACTCCTAACCCCGAGCCACTTGACTTTCTCGTCACTGAGCTCGCGCTCCAGAGCTTCCTTCTCGTCGCGCAGCTTGTCGATTTGCGCTTCAAGGACTTCGCGGTCCTTTTCGTTTTGAATGGCGTCCCGTGTGAGGGCTTCGTATTCAGCAGCCATACCGGACAGCTCGGCTTTGAGGTTGCGCTCAGATTGTCGGGCTTCGGCTTCGGATTGTGAGGCAACGTCTTGCACTTTGCGGAGCGCTTCTAGTTCGCCAAGGAGCGCTTGGTTTTGCTCGGTGAGCTCGTCGAGCTCTCGCTTGATAGCAGGGTTGGCGGCGGAGTCAGCGGCACGTTGCGCGCGCGTACCGTAGGCGCCGTCGAGCTCTGCTTTGGCGAAAGTGAGTTCCGTTGTAAGACGAACAATTTCGCCTTCGAGGTTGCGGAATTCCTCCTCCTTAGCATTGAGGGAGTTGGTTGCGTCCAAAGAGCGAGCCTCGGCAGCTTGCTTCTCGGCAGTTACGGCTTCGAGAGCAGCTGTAGTCTCTGTAATCTTCTCCATGGAATTGGCAAGTTGAGCCTGGATCGTTGCCGCCTCGGTACGAGCTTCGTCCTGAGCATCCCGCAACTTGGTCTCTAGCATGAGAGCCCGTTCCTGCGCGTCCCGAACCTGGGCTTCGTAGCCAGCAGTGCGTTGCTCAGCCTCTTGTGACGAGACGTTGTATGCGGTGTTGCGCTCCTGGTGATCCTTTAGCTCTTCCTCGAACGTGGCCGCACGCTTTTCAGCCTCTTGCATTTTGCTCTGGAAGTTTACAGCTTGCTCTTGCACGTCCTTGAGCTGGTTCTCGTACGCGACAGCGCGTTGCTTGGCCTGGTTCAGTTCAGTCTCAAAGGCCATCACTCGCTCTTGTACGTTGATCAGCTGAGCCTCCAGACCAGCGTTCCGCTCCTGCGTCTCGCGCAAGATCTGTGTGTCAGTCGAGACCTTTTGCTCATCGAATTGCTGTAGCTGTTCCATTGCACGCTCGAGCTCACCCTCCATGGACTTCTTCTCAGATCTCGCGCTTAGCAGATTGGTATTGAGTCGCTCGAATTCTGCCTCTTTTTGTGCGTCTGACTTGCTGTTCAGTTCACGTTGCTGCTTGATCTGGCGCATCAGAACTGATTGCTTGTCTTTGAGACTAGTCGCCCGCCTGAACAGTAATTGCACCTTTGAAGAGAAGGCAGGAAGAGAGTAGCTCTCGTTGACGTAGTCTTCATCTGGCGAAACTTGTTCATTGGCATCGGGATCTTCGGCAAGTAACTGACGTCGCTCGCGTTTGCGCTCACGTGCTTCTTCTTCGCCAGTGAGGATGGTTTGCCAGAGGCCCATGATTGTAGTCTCGTACTTCTCAGCCTTCTCAGCGCTCTCGGACTCGTCAACCGCAGGACCCTTAGAGCGAAGCTCGTTGATTTGCTCGTTCATGGCATACTGGATTTGCTCGAGGTTGTAGAAGGAGTCTTCCATGTAGTTGAGCTGTTCGGTAGCGCCACCACCAGTGATGGCGGGTGGCGGTGGGATCTTGTCGGACTGTTCGTTTTCGGATCGAGATATTACCGCATACAGTTGGTTGTTCATGCCCTCCAGACGGCCCTCGACTTCGCTCAGAGTATGCCTTGAATTGTTGCGGATGTTGGACTGTTCGGCGGCGATGCTGCGGAGGCCCTGATCGAGGAAATCGAGCTGGCGATCTAGGGTTGACGCGTCGGGCGTTCCTTCAAGAGCCAACGGTGGCAGTGAATAGTCTTCGTCACGCTCGGGGTTCGCCTCGATGATGAGTGATCTGAGACGCTCGTTGATCTCCTGGAGTCGCGTGGCAGTCGCATTCAAGGCTTGATCGTGACGCTCTGTGGAGGCTGTGAGATGCTTGCCGGTTTGCAGCACGTTCATGAGGTTGTCGAGATTTTCCGGCGTCCTGTAGAAGCTGCGCTCGTCGAAAGCGCCGTTGAGTCTGCCGTCTTCGTAGGTGTTCAGGCTTGCGGGGCTGTCTGGTCTGCGGAAGCGGTCTTCTGACAGTTCAGAGTCGTCTTGACGCTGCTTTGGTCCCTTGTGCGTGAGCTGCAGTACAGCCGCAGTGTGCATCAGGAGTTGCATATCGATCATGCGCATGCGAGACTCTATCTCGAGGCACTCCCGAATGAACTCCTCGACCTTCTTGTTGCTTGACTCCAGCCCTTCCTCTGTCTTGGGGTCGTAGTCCTGCGCGGGATTGCTGCCTTTGCTGCTCTTGCTGCTCTGCCCGCGCTTGTGTCCGTTTGCCTTCTTCGACGCCAGCCGTCCGAGGGAGCGCGTCGCATCGCGGATCTTCGTCTCCGACTCCAGCTTCCGCCTGACCGTGCCCAGACGAGTGTCCAGGCTCTTCTGCTCCTGCTTGAGCGCTTCCACCTCCTCGACCGAGAGTATGTCGAAATACTGGCTGTCTCCAATTGCCGTCTCAACAAGCAGATGCATAGCCACGGGGTCGGTATTCAGCGCGTCGGAGTTTCGCTTGCCAGAGTTTCGCGGTGTGTAGACGCCATTCTCGCGAATGGTCTCCCTGCGGCCGTCTACGAAGACCTCTGGGGGCGGTATGAAGGCGCTGGCACCGAAGCGCGGGGAGATCTGGTAGGCCATGGGGAAGAAGCTGGGCGAGGCGGTGCCATTGATGCCGGACGGGTAGTTGGACGTGGGCGAGGGAAAGTCGTAGAGGGCGCGGGGACTGAGCGTGTCCCCGACGTAGGGGTACTGGGTGCGCAGGCCATTGGCGGTCATGGTTCTGAATCTGAGCGAGCGACGCGGCGACTCGGGGCGTTGGGGGGTGATAAAGGACCGGATGGAGAAGGCGACGGGAGCGCCCAACAGTAATACTCGCGCAGCCAGCGGGGGTGGTGGGCGCGCTCACGGCGAGCAGCTCAACATGGTTGCAATTGGAGAGGTGGCTCAGGAGACGCTACTCTAGCAGTCTGCTCCTAGCACTCGACTGCGCCTGTCAAGGGGTGAATGAGCCACTAGCCGGCGGGAGTTCACGCGTTCATGCGCGCTTGGCAGGCACCGCCCATCCAGACATTCCCCACCATCCCGCGTTCTCGTCCCGTATTCGCTGCGCAGTCCTGACGACACCATATCTGGCGTCTCGTAGCGTGCCCCGCGCGAAATATTTCTCTGTAGTGATTCTAGTGCTGCTGCATCTCGTGGTGAAATTGCTGCTCCCATCTGATCGCGTCTCAGTTCGCCGCATGCCAAATTCGGATCTGCACTCCGCTATCGATAACGTCCGTGTCAGTCAACAACATGAGCGCACGCGCAACCTACACCAGAGACCAAATAACAAAGTACTTCGACCGCCTGGGATTGCCTGACCAAAAGAGAAAGTACGATGTAGCCGGTCTGGACCCCGAGAGCGCACTGGAGTACATCGCACTGCTCCAGAAGCTGCAGCTAGCAACCGTGCCCTTTGAGAACATCAACCTGCATTATTCGGCCCATCATTCCATCTCTATCCATCCGGAGGAATTGTTCAAGAAGATCATTGACGATGACAATGGACGCGGTGGGTATTGCATGGAGAACAACAGACTATTTGGCACGCTGTTGAATTCGCTGGGGTTTACCCTGTATTCAGGCGGCTGTAAAGTTTGGGCTGCTGACAGCTGGACGGGCTGGTCGCATATGGTGAACTTTGTCACCATCGGCAACACCAAATACCATGTCGATGTTGGCTTCGGGGCTGACGGGCCTGTTGTCCCAATGCCTCTCGACCGCTCGGGCACAGTCCAAAAGCACATCCAGCCTGCATCGGCCCGTCTCCAATGGCGCAACATTGCAGACAACACTGACCCCGACCAGCGCTTCTGGGTTTACGAATACCGGAGGAACGACGAGAGCGACTGGGAGACCAAATACTCGTACAGTGAGCTGGAATTCCAGCCTCAAGACTACGCAGTCATGAGCTACTACACTTCCACCAGCAAGCATACCTTCTTCACGCAGATGGTAGTGGCCGACAAGAAGATACTGGGTGATGACGGGGAGCTGGAAGGGAAGATGAGTCTGGCGGCTGCTTCGTTGAAGTGGAATATCAAAGGTCAGAAAACTAAAGAGATCGAATTCAAGAGTGAGGGAGAGAGGTTGGAGGCGCTTGAGAAGTACTTTGGGATGAAGTTCCGAGACGTGGAGCGAGAAGGCATTGCCGGACTGCCATCAGAGATCAAGTAGACACCAGTACTGAACATTGAGAATTGTTAATTGCTCGCATGCCTACTATTGCTGTACGTGCCGTAGACCCACCCAGCGCGATGTAGTTACTATTGGGTATGCTGTATGCTGTGTCGGAGTATCTCGCATCGTCTAGAGGAATCGCTTCTCGCACTGCCCGTGGTTAGCATCTTCCAACAGCCCAGCACCTCCATACGCACCCTCCATGGGTTGTTGAGCTCGAAGCCTTCCGGAGCAATCGGCTTGTCTGTCTGTCCGCGCATGAATCCTGTCAGCCGGCGGTCGCGCTCCATCACTGGGTCTCGTAAGTATGTCGCATGAGGTCATCGTGAAGCTGTCGTACTTTGCTGTACACTTGTTAGCTTACTCCTGGTGCGCGTACGTCTCTCGCAACCTACCCTGTCCCATTGGTCGATACCTCTCCTGGTCTTCTTTCCTCCGTTCTGGATCTCCTTGAGCTTTCCGACAGACACGGCGCTGAATGCGAAGAACTGGCCCCCGTGTTAGCAGCCTTTCACTCACAGGCGCGCCGATTACTCACGCCCGTCATAATGGCATAGGGCAGCAGAGCCTCGAATGGGACACCCATGATTGCGGTAGTGTGTTCAGGCGCGGTGGTGTTGCGGGGTGGGCTATCAGTGCGGACTGGCTGGAGGTGCCGTCGGCGTGAAGTGAGGTGCGGCGGCCGTGCGTCAACTGCTCCTTGGCGGCGACCCCGACTACGACCAAGGGTGTCATTTCGGACGACGACAGTGCATCGCCCATACCATTTCCTGCCGAGCGACAATTATTCTCGGTGTCGCACAGACTCACCCTTTCATACGAGGCGCGAAACCCGCAACCTTCAGCCGCCATACCCCCGAAATAATTGCCTCCGCCGCGATCGCACCTCCGCCTTCCCCACAGTCACGCCCAACGCGACTACGAGACCGCCGCATCTGCCTCTGGCGATTCACGACCTCTGAAACCCATTACACGATACACCTCAGTCGAAAACACGCGGTTATAAGTTTCACGGGTCACGACAACGCGCTAGGACACAGACACGACGCGCTCACCAACCACTGCATGAGAGAGCCTCCGCGGCTGCTACCGCTCGCGCAACCAATGTTCTAAGACTTATACCAATTGGACTGCGACAGTGGCGTATCTTGCCTCCAAGGTGGCCTCTGCCGTCAACTTCGCAATGGCGGAAATAATGGGCCAAGCCGCGGCCAACACCGACCCGGACGACATCGATGCGGATGGCGAATACGAGATGGACGATGTAGAGTACGCGACCGGCCCGCCTATCGAGGACATGCCTGATGCTGAAGGCCAAACTACAGACGCTGAGGGTTCAGACGTGGATGCCGAGGGCGAAGATGTCGATGCTGAGGGTGAAGATGTGGACGCCGAGGGTGAAGACGTGGACGACGATGAGGACGAAGCTGAGCCCGTCGGTGCTGTCAAAATCGCACTGCGTCGACCCAGGTCCGACGACGAGGAAGAGGACTATGATGGCGACGATGTCGCGAGAGAATCATCCGATGCCAAGTCCAGCGACAGCGACGAGTCAAGCAACCTCGATTCCGAGGAGGAGAACCAATGGCAGGCGAGCGATGGTGGTGAAGAGGATGAAATCATCAGGTCGAACAACCCCAACGTGTGCATGTAAGTATCGCCCCAGAATATTGAGCATGTAAAACCATTTACTAACTGAGCAGATATTGTAATCTAGACGAGGACAACGACCCCAGCCCGGAATTCGAGGAGTACCTCTCTTGCGCCCAGTGCGGAGACAATGGTGAGTACTCAGTGGGGAGGTTCGACTTACGATGTGGTAGCTCACACGTTGTTGGTCCAGCACATCGGCAATGCGCGCGCAACGCTAATACGCTTAGTCCCGATGACGGTATGTTCCCCTGTCAGGCCCGAACCACACCTTACTAACGACGAACAGATGCAAAGCTTTGGCGCTGCGAAGGATGTATCAACAACTTCCCAACGGAAGCAGAAGAAGAGGCAGACGAGCCTTCTACTCGTCGGAGACGTTCGTCTGCGAACAAATTGACCAAAGAGTTGCTCCCTTCACACCGTGGGGTTGACCCCGAAGGACATTCAATCTTCAAAGAGCTAATTCTTCCCGACGAATCAGCAGATGGAATACGTTCGCTGCGCAAACGCAAGACTTCGCAGGAAGAGGAAGCGCCGATTCCGTCGAGGCAAACACGGAAGAAGCGGAGACCTTCCGAAGCATCCAACTCAGATGCGGCGCCATCAGTGCCTGCAGTCTCACCCCGGCCACCTTCAAGAAGCGTACGAAGTGCTCGTAGCGTCATGACGGATGGTCACGAGAGTGGAGGCGAGGCAGAGCACACTGGTTCAGATCGAGAGGCAGGTCGCTTACGACCAGCGCGAGCACGTCGTGGTCAACCTAAGAGGACCGACAAACGACCACTCGCATGGATCGAAGAGGCCCAGCCTGGAAGCCTGATCATCGCTTTCCATCTTAACAACGAGAAAGTCCAGAAAATTGTCACCGCCAAGCCCAAAGTAAAGACACTCACGCGCGAGCAAGAGCGACAGGAGAGGCGGCGCGAGAGGGATAGAGAACGTCGCGAAAGAAATCGTCGGGCTGCACAGGCTGCACGAGAATCTTCAGAGGTCTTGCATTACCCAACAATCCACATTCAAAATGCCGCTCCGTTCCCAGGCTTCACCGACAGGGAGCCCGACGAGGTCAAGAGCAAGCCTTACGGTGGTGTACTTTCAGAAGCGGATGCCGATACATCCAAGACTTATCCTTCGCCCGCCGACCGGAAGCGGTTCGACGATGCTCGCATCAAGGCTGAAGAAGAATGGAAAGTGAAGCAGGCCGCACTTTACCCGCCCGAACCACTCCGGTCGCACAAGCAAGCAACCACGGCGAGCAAGATCAAATGCGTCAATTTCGGTGGCTGGGAGATCGACACCTGGCACGCTGCGCCATATCCTGAAGAGTACAGCAAAAACCGGGTGCTTTACATATGCGAGTTCTGTCTCAAGTACATGAACTCGGATTACGTGGCATGGCGGCATAAGGTAAGCAGCTCGACTTTTTTCCATGACCATGTACTAACAAACGCAGCTCAAATGCCCAGCGAAGCACCCTCCTGGCGACGAGATTTACCGTGACGGCAAGTACTCTTTCTTCGAGGTCGATGGCCGAAAGAATCCAGTGTACTGCCAGAATCTCTGTTTGCTCGCCAAGTTGTTCCTCGGTTCCAAGACGCTATACTACGATGTTGAGCCCTTCTTGTTCTACGTCATGACAGAAAATGACAACTTCGGGTGTCATTTCGTCGGCTACTTTTCGAAAGAGAAGCGTCCCAGCTCGCTCAACAACGTTTCTTGTATTCTCGTACTTCCCATTCACATGCGCAAAGGCTACGGACAATACCTGATCGAGTTCTCCTACCTCTTGACCCGTGTGGAGAGAAAGACTGGAAGTCCTGAGAAACCTCTCAGTGACATGGGTTTGGTGAGTTATCGGAAATACTGGAGGCTTGTCTTGTGTGAGGAGCTACTCCAACAAAAGGCTGCGATCAGCATATCGGCCATATCGGATCGCACCGGCATGACACCTGATGACATTGTATCAGCGTTGGAAGGCTTAAGAGCTCTCGTGCGCGACCCTGTCACGAAGAAGTACGCGCTTCGCCTTGATTTGAACTACTTCAAGTCATACATTGAGAAATGCAACGCTGCAGGCAACCCAAAAATCAACCCAGAGTGTCTGATATGGACACCATACGTCATGGGCCGTCTGGGCCAGTACGAAGATGGACCCGCCCTACAGACAGTGCAACAGCGCGACGAAATCGAAGAAGAAGACAAGCCCGCGCCCGAGGAAGGAGTCCAGATGGCCGCAGCAAAAGCCAACGGTACAGGCGATGAAGCAGACGGCCCCCACCCAGCCGAAGACTCCATCAACGGCGGCTCACCAGCCCCCGGCACACCCCTCGCAAACGGCTCCACCGTCGCACTCGCCGGCTCCCACATGGACGAACCCGCAATCCCGCCCTCCCGCTACGAAATTTTTCCTCCCATCCCCGGCCAACCTGCACAGCGCCGCCGCCCAGGCCGCCCCTTCGGCACCCGCCGACGTACCAGCACCCCCAATCGCGTCCGCAACACATCCCTCTCCATCCACACCGCCCCCGTATCGAAAATGCAACTCTCGCCCAGCCGCGGCGCAAAAGCCCTTATGTCGCCCTCCGCCAACGGCGCCCTCACGCCCGGTACCATTTCGCTCCGCCGCACACGCAGCCGCCTCGGCGAAAGTGTTACAAACGGCGACGACGTCTCAGATGGCGGCGCTGTTAAAGCCGTCGTTGTTAACGGGAGAAGGAGTACACGGAGCTCTGCTAGCTCAAGGGGTAGCATTGACTTCAAGGGCAAAGGCAAAGCGCTGCCCATTGAAGAGGAACAAGAACAAGAACAGGAGCATGATGAGGACATCGACGCCGATGGCGACTATGATGAGGAAGAGGGGGATATGGATGTTGATGCCGAGGGCGAGGAGGACGATGATATCATCATGCAGGATGCATGAGTGTTGCTTAACACCCTTTTCACTTCTCCCGCTCACGTCTTGTAATAATATTTAGTGTTTGGTGGTCGGTGTTGATCTGACACCTAACTACTTTTTTTCTCGTTCCCCTTTCTATTTATGTTTCAGCGCGGAGAACTAGGGCTTCGATTCTTTGTAGTGTTATGGTTGTAAGCTGGTTGGGGCTATTGGTGTATATGCATTATGGAGATACCTTGGGATGGGATGGGATTGCGAAGCGGGGGCGTTGTTCAATGTATCTGCACATATCTCCTGAGTTGAGCTTGGTGTGTGGTTTTTTTCCGAGAAGAGAGTGTGAGGATTCGTTTCTCGGGCCCTCTTCTCGAAAGAAAAAAACACATGTTGAGTTTCAATTTAGGGTGTGTGTTCATCTATGAAATACTCTCGGTGATGCCTGTCGGTCTGAAGTTTCTGAGGCTGTGCCACTCTTTCACTGTTGTTGCTGGTGATATCTCCGGCGAATGACGAGTATCAATGACGCTGTCTCAGTTCTCTTTCTCCTACACTTCAGCCATAATCCTCATTCCTGCTCAACTTTCCACTGTTCTCTCATCTCAACGCACTCGATCCAGCTGACACCCCCAGGGCGCTCGAGCTAGGTAGCAATACGAATCCCAAGAGTGCTGCTGTGTCCACATTCCGCGCACATGCTCGGCTAGACACTCCTGCAGGTTATGGAAGCGATGTCATCATGGACACACAGAAAACAACACGGTGGATATGCAAGTAGATGTAGTTGCCTGATATTGATCGAATCATCGTTCTTTGAAGTGGAGTAACATGCTGTAGATGTCAAGACTACTGAATAATAAGCCTGTGATTGTTCGGATATTGTTAATGCAGATACCCGCGCGCATAGTTACAGTCTACTTTGATGAACGAATATAGCATATCAACATCACATATCCACTTCTACTCCAGGTCCAATTGTCTCTTTCTGGACACTGTTGTTATACTGGCATATGAATTCATCTTGAAGAACACATTGGTGCCTC